TAGAGCAGCTCCCAGTGCCTAAAGGGGCTACAGGAAACCTGGAGAGGGGCTTTGGACAAGGGCCTATAGGGACAGGCCAAGGGGAATGGCTTTAACCTGCAGAGGGGAGACTGAGATGAGCTCTTAGGCAGAAGCTCTTCCCTGTGAGGGTGCTGAGGCGCTGGCACAGGGTGCCCAGAGAAGCTGTGGCTGCCCCATCCCTGGCAGTGTTCAAGGCCAGGTTGGACACAGGGGCTTGGAGCAAGCTGCTCTAGTGGAAGGTGTCCCTGCCCCTGGCAGGGGGTTGAAACTGGATGAGCTTTGAGGTCCCTTCCAACCCAAACCAAGCTGGGATTCTATGAAAAGCAGAGCAGCTTTCCCTCATGCAGCCCAGCTCAGAGCAGGACCCAGCTCACCCTGCCAGAGGTGGATGCTCTGCGGCTCCACGGAGGGCCAGATGACCAGGGCATTGGGGGAGTAGAGAGGGTTCAGGTACTTCCTCTTCTCTCCAGGCCGGTTCAGCCAGGCCCAGAGAGAGTGTGTACTCTCCTTCACTTTACAGAGGCACCTATGGGAGAGTCAAGATGCACTTCAACCCCTGCAAGGGGTTGTGGGTCCTCATGTGACCCCAGCTCTGATCATGAGAGCTTTTCTTTGTCTCAAGGGTGACTGTGGCATTGCTCCCAAGGGATAATGGTGTCCTCCCTACTTGCCTCTCCTTCTCGTTGTTGCACAGGAAGATGCCATAGACAGAGGCATAGGCATTGTCAAACAGGGTGAGGAGGAGGCGCTCGCTGAACTCCAGGGAGAAGGGGAACTGATGGCTCAGCTGCCACACGCAGTCAAGGAAGAGAAGGAAAAGTGGTGCCTCCTGCTTCAGCCGGGCATGGGAGGAGGCAGAGCGGGCACAACGGAGGTGGAAGGGATGCCCAGCCTGTGGGACCCGGACAGGGAACAATGGGGTGAAAGAAAGTTTGGGGGTGCTGAGATCCTTATCCCCCTGGGGACTGCCACTCTCACCTGGATCCACTCCCACTCCAGCAGCCCCTGGAAGCCTATGAGCATGCGGCAGGACGGATCCAGGATCACCTGGGCTAAAGCCGTGACCAGCAGTGTCGTGTCCGTCCCGTCCACCCCATGCACCAGCACACTGGCTTCTTTGCTGCAGGAAGTGCAATGCCCAAAGTTTGTGCAACACTGAGAGCTTTGGGAGGGTGAAATTGGGGACCACAGCCCCCCATTACCTGTCCATGCACTGTGCTGCCAGGCAGGCCGTGCTCAGGGCTGCCTTGATGTGGCTCAGCCAGCGGCAGCTCTCCAAGCAACTCAGCCAGTGGTCCATGTTGGTCAAGGTGGTGTTGCAGGCTTCCACCAGCTTAATAAAGCTTTCCTGCAGCGGGCGGCCTCTGAGAGGGGAGGAAAATAGTGTTAGGGGCTGGCTAAGGCTTTTGCAGAGGGGGGCTGGAGTCCAAATGTCATTGGCAGGGCAGTGTGATCACCCATGTCACGACAGCACCAGGCCTCAGCACAGCCCCTCACCTCTCCAGGGGCTGGTGCAACCGCCTCCACTGCGGATAGGAGAATTTGGGCTCCGTGCCCCTGCCAGTCATATGAGCTTGCTTTGCAGTCTGTGCTGACCTCATGTCAATGATAAAACCCTGCTCCCCCTTGTCCAGTACCATCCCCAGAAGCAGCTCATCCTCGTGGCAGCGCTTTCGGTTGGGACCTGTCAGAGGCTGGCTGCTGCGGAGCATTGCCTGTGGGGTCAAACCAAGCTGGGGGCTTCCAGCCACCTTTGCTGGCAGTGGTGGGACAGGGGAAGAGCAGCTGGACAGGGAGATGGGCTCACGGTGCCATTCTTGGGGTGGTAATAGCTGAGGACAGGGAAGCGCCCTCCCTGCCGGAACCAGGCAGCCTTCCGCAGGGCATCATCATCCACTGCTGCCGGCACGATGACTGCCGGAGGGTACGTGGGGCAGGTGGTGAAGTCCCAGTTCACATAGCTCAGCCGCCACCGGCTCGTCTAGGGGTGGAACATGGGACTGTGGGGTTGCCCAGCATGGGTTGGGAGAGTTGCTTCTCTCCCCAGCCCAGCTGGATCTCTCTTGCAGGCTCACCTGTGAGGCGATCTGCTGGAAGTACTGCTCGAGGGGGAAAAGGTGCCAGCCTTCCTCGAGCTTCAGGCTCTGGGGTCTGTAGAAGAATGGGTACATCATCGTCACAGAGTCCACAGAGGAGAGGGCCTAGAGTGGGAGCAAAGGTGAAGCAGGTCATGGGCAGGGGGTGAGGACATCCCTGCTGTGACCCCAGGGCTCTGCAAACCCCAAACCTGGTCCCCTCTCCTGGCCACATCTATGGCACCACCAACCCCATGGGCACCCATGCCAGGGCTGTGTGCAGGCTGTTTACCCACATTAATGATAGACTGAGATCAAACACTCCAGGTGGCTGCTTTCTCCTGCCAACCCTTTGCACCTCGGCACAGTGAGGAGGAGCTCACCTCGATGGAGCTGGCGATGTTGAGACACTCCTCCAGGCCTGGGATCTCCAGCTGAAGCACCTTCAGGTCTTTGCACCGAAGCATGATGGTGCCGGAGGAGCCAGTGGACCTGGGGGAGGCAGGAGGTGAGTGCTGGCTATAGGTCCATGTACACACAGACACACAAAATGGCTGAGCAGTCCTTTTCCAAGGGATGGAGCATGAGGGCTGTGTGGGTGCCAGATCGCTGGCTCTCATCCAGCACTGGTGGCTCTCCTGTCAGAAGCTGCGATTTCCACCATCTCTCCCTGCCCTGGCCGGGGCCTGGTGGGTGCCGCGATAGTTAACACGAAGCCAAGCACTGGATATGCAGAGCCAAGAGGGTATTAAAAACCAAACCTGGTGTCTCTTGCGTAGCTGTAAGTCCAGGGGAGCTCGTACCAGCCTAAATTCTGCATTCTGAGGCAGGGAGGAGAAGAGAAGGTTAATGCCCAGTGTGTGCCACAAGCATCTTCCAGCATGGGCCGTGGGGAAGAGGAGGGCCGAGGCTTGGTGGGCAGCACAATGGGTAGCCATGGACACTGGGAGAGCAGTAGGGAATGTCCTCCAGCTAAGTCAGGGGTGACACTGCTAAAAGAGACCATGGTGCCAGCCATGGAGGAGACTCACCTCTTCTCCACGGCATTCACATTGCGGATGAGCAGCCAGAGCTCCTCAGTGCTGGCCTGGCCGTCCACCCTGGGACAGGAGGAGAGGAGAAGGTGGTGGCTGGTGATGCATAGGGTGCCCTTCACCACCGGCAGCCCCGTACATGACAGCAACACATTCTCCACCGTCGCCGTCTTGATCAGCTCTGAGAACTCCATGGAGGGATGTGCCACCCACTGCTGCAGTGGCGCTGGAGGGAGAAAGGGGAAATCCTGCAGTAGCACAGCCCAGGGCTGGAAAAACTCTCTTCCCTCTGCGTCACGTGGGGCTAACTTCACCCCCTTCTTTGTGTTTACGTTGTCACCTACAGCATATGGAACTTCCTCACTGCAGAGAGGGGTGACATTTGCTTCCCCAGCAATGCTGTCACTGCAGATGGGGAAACTGAGGCACAGGGCAGAGAAGGCTGAGCTGTCTCTGGGCTCCCAGCAGTGCTCAGATCCCAAGCCAAGTAACCTGCTCGCAGTGCTGCAGCAGGGTGAGATGTTTGGTAACTGCTGCCTTACAGAGAGCAGCTCTAGGTCCCTCCCTGCCTGCACTGGGACTGGATGGTGCTGCCAGAGCCCCGGCTCTCACAGGCTCTACACCCACAAGCACCCCTGGGCCTGGGGGATGGAGCAGAAGTTGCTGCAGGTGCCCTGAGCGAGGATGATGAGGATGAGGATAAGCAGCTGCCAGCGCTGCCTGCTCCAGCCAGCCCAGTGCTTACCTGCTCAGGTCCTGCTGCAGGCAGGGACCAGGGGGTGCAAGAAGAGAACCAAGGGCACAAGCAAGAATCTCAGGGTGCAACTGTGGGGTGCATCACAGATCCTGGGATGCAAGCAGGGTCCTGAGGGGGAGCTGCGGGTGCCAACAGGGAACTACCCAGCATAAGCTGGGGGGCTCAGCGTGCAAGCAGTGATCCTGTGGTGTGAGCAGGGGAGCTTAGGACACAAGCTAGAACAACAGGGTGAAAGCGGGAGGCTGTGGGGAGCAAGCGGAGGACCTCAGGGGTGCCAATGGGGAAGTGGTGGGTGTAAATGCGGAAGATCGGAGTGCGGTGGGGAGAGGACGATGACCGCAAAGCCCAGCCGGAACGGCGGCTCGGTGCAGGGCGGATGTCAGGTTTAAGGTGGCCCGGGCCCGGGGCGGCTCCGCCGGAGGGCAGCGGGTACGGGGCGGGGAGTTGTGGGGGGGGTCGGGCGGAGGCTCCTCGCCACCGGGGCTCCTGGCGTGGGCCCGTGGAAGGGACAAGCGAGGGAACACAGGGGCTGGCAGGGGATTTGGGGACTGCACAGGGAGGATGGAGGGGCCGGGAGCAGTAGGGAACCGGGTATGGGGAGTGCTGGGGGGGGGGGGGGGGGGGTTGCGTGCCGGTGATGGGACAAGGGCGAGACCCGTCACCCTCGGCCGCTGGGAACCGCGCTGGCGGGATGGCGGTGAGAGTTGTGGGCACATCCTGACCTGGTTCCACCTTAAAGCCCTCCCGTGCCACAGGACGCCCCCCACCCCCCCACCCTCCCCGGTTTCTTTTTCCTTCCTCGGGATTTTTTTGGACACCCGTCCCTGTCCGCTGCCTCTGGGAGTGAATCTGCCCCCCGGCGCCCCTCGCCAGGGTGTGCCAGTGGAGAGTGGCAGCTTTCCCGAAGAACCGGGAGTCTCCTCCCGGGGGGCACAATCGTGTAAAACAAGGAAAGACAATGGAAAAAAACCAACAAAACACACCCAAACCCCTCCTCCTTCGCACTCCTCTAGATAAGGAGAGTCCCCTCCCGTTGGAATTGTCCTCAGCGTCCCCAACCCTCAGGGTTCAGGAGGTGAATAAATAGCCAGGACGTGGGTGCTGCGGGTGGTCAGCGTGTCGTTTGCCCTGCGGGTGCAGTGAGGCAGAGGCTCCGCTTGGACTGAGGCTTTGAGTGCAGAGAGGTGACCCCGGAGTGCTGGGGGGTCTGTGGTGGGTGCCACCATGGCCCTTGAGCAGCTCAAGTTCAAGGAGCTGGGTGAGGAGGAGGCTGCCTGGAAGGAAGAGAGCCTGGACAGCGTGAAGGCACTGGCGGCCAAACTGAAGCTCCAGACGCGGAGACCTTCCTACCTGGAATGGGAAGCCCGAGTGCGGGGCCAGCCCTGGCACGCTCAGACCCCCGGGGGAACGAGGGGAGCACAGAAGAGCATGGGGCACCACGAAGACCAACATGATGGTGGCATCTGTGGGTTCGCCACCATGGAGGCAGCTCTGGAGTGGCTCAGGATGGAGCTGGTGAGTTGCTTCTGGGCAGACTGGGGTGGCAAAGGGCTGACCCCAAAGCAGGGATGGGGCCATGGGGCACAGAGAGAGTGCCTGCAGCCCGACCTCATGCAGCAGCAACAGGATGTGCTGTGGCCAAGGCACTTGCATTGGCAACACGATGCTTTGCTCCTTTGCCCAGCACTGCTGGTGTACGTGGGGTTTTTGCAGGGCATGTATGGCTCTGCCCGTGTCCCCAGCACAACTCCAGGGGTCATGGCTCTGTCCTGGCCTGCACTTGTCACTCCCCTCCTGCCTTCTCTGCTGGTGCAGTGGATTTTGTTGGTGTGGTGGCACAGCAGTGGTGGTTTCCATTGGGTGGCAACAGCCATGTGTGTACAAATATGAGCTGACCACGAGCTGTGATTGCAGCACAGACCCTGTGCTGACCCCAGGGTTCCCTGCTAACCCCAGGGCCACTTCTGCATGTGGTCCCCAGTGGGCTTGTGCCCTGGCCAAGCCCCAGCCCTGCTGCCTGGGCAGATAGTGGTCCCACTCCAGCCCTGATGCCCATCTCCCCATGCAGCAGGAGATGCAGGCAATGGACCAGCACCTGGCACAGCAGTTGATGCACCTGCGGGCACAGCTGCACCAGCTGAAGGTGGAGCAGGCCTGCCACCAGCACAAGGAGATGTTGGACGATGCTACCTTTGGCCTTGAGGGCTGTGAGGAAGACTCGGATCTGCTCTGCAACATCCCACCCAAGGCCGCCTTCCTGCTCTCCATGCCACTTAAGCACATCGGCATCACCCGCATGAACATCAGCTCCCGGCGGTTCTCCCTCTGCTGAAAGTAGCAGCACTCCATGGAGTGCTCAGCAGTGAGCCTGGATGGGAGCCTCAGAGGAACCCATGGGTGCATCCAGACTTGGCAGGGCTCAAGAACCCTCCTAAAACCCCTTGGGGACTGTGGAGCAGCAGGCAGTGCTGAGCCCTGGTTCTGCCAGCCCTGCCCTGAGCACAATGCCATGCCACAGCAGCATGGGAATGCCACTATCCCCATTGGGCACAGGGTATTTTGGGACACCCACTGCCTTGTCCTTAAGGACAGTGGGGTCAACTGCAGTGGCAAATGTAGGAAGCAGCCCTTTGAGGAGGAATAGAAAGTGAGAGTTGATGTTTTTCCCATTGTTGCACCCAGGCACCTGCCTCAACCTCCAGACATGGGGGACCTGCGGGCAGCGGGGGGGGATGTGCTTCCATCACTCCTTCCCCAACCTGGCTCAGAGGATAGCAACTTCTCACCAGTTCCTGTCAGGGAGACACTGTCTCTGCTCTGCAGACCTCATGGCCAACCTGTCCCCAGGTGTCCCTGGCCACAGTGGGTGCTTGGGCTGCATGGCTGCAGGAAACGCTTGTCCTTGTCCCCAACTCAGCAGCGAATGGAGGGGTTGATTTTGGGGCTTGAGGCCAGAAGGTGCTGGAGCTGTGCTCAGGGTTCAGCCCCCATGCTCCCATCCTGCTCCATCTCCAACCCCCTGCAGCCCTACACTGGCAGCAGGGTAGCAGCCCCCAGGGCTGACAACACTGCCCTTACCAGAGGGGTTAATTTTAGCTTTTTCCCTTCCTTCATTAACAGCAAACCCCTCACAAAAGAAGTTGCTTCTTGGGGAATGTGGCTTCCACAGAACACTTTTCGCCAGCAGTGCCAGGGAAGGTGTGGGCTGACCTGGGGATAATTTGCAGGGGCTGCTTCTCCTTCCCAGGGTAGCAGCAGGGCACAGGAAGAACCCAACATGCACCCCAATAGGCTGTGGCGCACCCCAGGGCCATGCATTGCTCCCCACACCCCCTTGCCTGGGGCACTGTTGGGGTTGGTGAGCAGGATGGGAAGGGGATGGTTGCTGTCTCTGGGAAACATCCCTGCCCAAGTGGATGCTGCGTCTGGAGGTGCCACCACCATGCCCCTGTCACAGCTGAGCTTCCTGCCCCTGCCTCTGCAGAGCTGGCAGCAGGGACCTGCGGCTTCATCTCAAAGGCCAAGACAGTAGTGTGGTGATTGCTCTGCCTTAAGCTGTCTCCAAAAACACGGGCTGGCAGCCTGTCTGAGTCACAGTGTGGCCCCTTGGCTTCAGCCTCTGTCACCACAGCTCTTGGGGTGCCTCGTTTGGGGTAACCCCATTGTGATGGTCAAAGTGGGGACTGCGGGGTCCAGGATGAGTCCCACAGCCCATGTCAGGGTCTGATGGGTCACGGTGAGTGCAAGGTGCCAGCGTGCCCATGCTGAGCACCAGAGAGGGGACAGTGCAGGGGACCAGGGGGGCTCGGGTAGCCAGGACTGCTCTAGCAGCAGGGGATAATCCCGTCCTGCCCATCACTGGTCCTTCGCAGGGCATCTCCCAGCTGCAGGACCCTGCTTCCCAGCGACTGAGCGGCTCAGCATCCCTTTGCCCACTCGTTCCCTGAGGGTTATTGATCAGAGACACCCAGAGCAGCAGCCCTGCATGCTGGGGATGGCAGGAAGCCACCAGGGTTTGTCGCTAACTCTTGCGGTTGTGCTTGAAGCTGTGAACCAGCTTCTCTAGAGTTTGCTCATGAGGCAGGAAGCCAGGGCAGGCACTGAGCAGGAGTGAGCAGGGGGCTCGTCTCTGCTCCTCACAGGGTCACCTCACTCCTGCTGGGCATGGAGAGGATGTGAGCAGGGCCAGAGTCTTCATCTTGCTGCTGGGCCATGGGAGTCTGAGAGCAGCTGGTCCTTGCCTCGCTGCCAACAGGTAATGGGGACGTGGGGTTAGAGGGTTGGCATTGTCCGGATGGGAGCTGGAGAGCACTTGGGTGCATGTGGAGGGTGGGAGGTCCCATTGCACTCTCTGAAGTTACCCCTAGGAGGGATGGAAGTGGGGGTTTGGGCTCATCGCTGCAGGAGGAGTGAGAGCGTTGGTGCCCAAGCGAGCAATGGGGGAGATAGGCTGTGCTCCCCACTCTTACATGGCCTCCCAGTCAGGGTGAAAGGCACTGTCCCCGTGCTCTCTGCCTGCCTAAAAGTCCTGCCCACGGTGGGAGCTCCATCCCCATCACAGGACTCTCCCCAAGGCCTCATTTTCAGGGCAAAGATGGAGTTGTGGTCCCAAGACCAAGCTCTCACCTAGCTGGCTCTGGGTGAGAGGAGTGTGGGACTGGCAGCAATTTAGTGCTGGTCCATCAGGGTCTGCTTCCCAGTCTGGGGGTTCAGACACTGAGACATGCCTGGTTTTGATGCTCTCAGTTTGAACACCTCCCTGCTGCAACAGCAGCTCTGGGGCCATGGTTCATCCAGCTGGGTCACAGCTGCCTTTGGGACATCCAGGCTGCCACAGTGAGCCTTGAAGAGTGTCAGGGACAAGGTCAGTCCATCCTTCAGCCCTCCTCACGCCTGCCCATACTTGTGAACAGGCCAACCAGACCTGGCTGGAGAAGTTTATGCAGAAGGGCTGGCACAGGGCAACTCCTCCAGCATGAACCAGGGGTCTAGACATGCTCCGGAGAGAGGCACATACACAGCCATGCAAGGACACTCATGCACAGGCGTGCACACATGCAGACATGACAAAGCATGGGACTGGGGCACCTACACATCCCTTGCAGAGAAATTCAGTTGCACCAGATGCAGGCACCAAACACCCAGTTCAAACATGGTGTTTCACCAGCAAGGCCCTCCACTGTGCAGGTGACATGGCCACTGAGTGGAAATTCTTCTGTGGCTTGAGTGTGTTAAGACAAAAATGCACAATAGCAGCACCTCCCTCCTCACCCCAGCTGGTGCAGGGAGGAAAAAATACCTCCTGGCAACCCTTGCCTTCAGTGAAGGCATTTGAAGGGCTGTGGGTAGGTCTTCTCCTCCTGCCTGCATTAGGGAGCTGTAATGCGCCCAAACCCCTTTCCTTGGGTGCCAAAGGGGTTCCTAAGTAGCTGTAACCAGAAGCTGAAGGCATCAGGGTGGTTTTTAGCCTTTGAGTCCCCAAAGTGGTGTTGCACGGCATGGGCAAGGAGCTCACTCACCTGCCCTCTCCTCTCCCAGATCACCCATCACTGATGGCCATCTGTGGCTGGTGGCACCTTGTGGACCCTGCACCATTTTTGGGGTCCCCCTATGAGGCTCTTTTCTGTGTCCCCAGCCACCCATAGGGGCACACACTCAAACGAAGCCCCCCGCTACCTTGGAAAGAGGTGGATTTAAGCATGTGCTTCTGGAAACAGCCGTGCAATGGCTCCTTTGGGTAGGAAATCAAGCAGCAAACATTGCCAGTCTGGGTCTCCTGGGGACCCAGCTTGCTGCAGGGCATGGCACGGATGGGACCCTCACACCTTCACCACCTGCTGCCAGATAGAGTTCCAAAGTGGCTGCTGTTTCCAGGTGCTGGTTTTGGGGCATGGTGTGGGGGTCCCAACCTGCCACTGGCACCCAGCGCCTGTGAAAACCGTGCTGGGGTCTCCAAGAGCCCCCAGAGCTCCTGGGCAGAGCCTGGAAAGGAGGGTTTGGGGGCTGGGTCTTGGTGGAGGTAAATCACGGTGGTGCAGGCAGAAGGGATTCTGTGGAAGAGCTTTTTCCAGGGCTTTGGCTGCTGTTTGCACATCAGGCACTGCCAGCGATCTCGGCCCCGCGTCATGATTGGCTTTCATGGCAAGGCAAGAGCTGATGGCTGGTTTGCAGAGTCCACACCCTGCTCATGGCATCACTGCCAGGCTGCCCCAGTGCTCACACTGTGGTGTCAGGTACACCAGCTTGGCATCACTGTGGCTTGAGGTTGGGGGGACCTTGATGTTTCAGGGTGACCTGCCAAGGATGAGGGGTCCCTGAGCAGGTATGAGGACTTAAAGGACATCCCTGACGAAAGAGAAACAGGAGTACAGTGATGGGGTGAATGCATGAGGGGAACCTGCAGGGTGGGGAAGGAAATCAGAGGTGATGCAGCATTGGTGGGGGAGTGCTCGCACCTACCTCTACACCAGGAGCTGCTTGTGGTGCCAGGGAAGTGTCTGGTAAAACACGCCATTGTATTAACTGGTAATGGGATACTCATGATTAGATTGTTAGCTGATGGAGAACACAGGGCCCAGCCCAAGGGCTGCAGAGTCTGAAGGAGCTGGCTGGCTTGTGGCAGTGGGAAATGGGAGCCTCAGACTGGGGACTAATTGCATTCGGTGTTTTTAATTAACAAAGCCAGAACAAAATGATTAGGAGGAAATATGGGGAGTCAGAGGATGCCTCCAGTTCAGCTGAGGACCTGCAGAGTGTGTGGGATGAGCCATGTGATGTGGGAAGATGTATAGATTCAAAGATGGGGATGTGCTGGAGTGGAAGGGGGGCCTGAAGGCTTCCTTCACCACCTATCACCCCCTGCAGCCACCATGGGCTGCTGCTGCAGCTCAGACTATGACGAGGACTGGATCGAGAACATTGACATTTGTGAGCACTGCAACTACCCCATCGAGCCCGACAGCAAGCCCCAGGTAGGAGGGAGCGAGCAGACCCCCCACCCCCCATACTGGTGGCCAAACACCTCCAGAGCTGGCCAAACCCCAGGAAGGTGAGAGCTCTCAGGGCTCCTCATCCCTTGGCAGAGGCTGATCCGCAACGGCTCCGAGGTGCAAGACCCACTAGTGTCCTACAAGGCCACATCTCCACCGTGCTCCCCACTGCAAGGTATGGTCCCCACTGCAAGTTATGGTCCATGGCAGGGGCAGCCATGGCTAACAGTTGGCCACTGCCACCCTGTCCCTCTGCCCCTCCTCCCAGATAAGCTGGTGGTGGCCCTGTACAACTATGAGCCCAAGCACAATGGGGACCTGGGGCTGCAGAAGGGCGAGAAGCTCCGCATCCTGGAAGAGTGAGTGACTGCCAGAGGTGTCCCAGCACCCACATCTGCATCACCCCACTGCACACCATCCCAGTGCTGCCAGGGGCATCCATGCAGATCCCAGCAGCCAGGAGGGTCTTACCTCACTGTGTCCTTGCAGGAGTGGGGAATGGTGGAAGGCTCAGTCGCTCACCACCGGCCAGGAGGGTTTGATCCCCTACAACTTTGTGGCCCTGCTGAACAGCCTGGAGCCTGAGCCGTGAGTAGGGGTTGAGAAGCAGCTGGAGCTGTGTCCTGGCAGAGTGGGAAAGAGCCAGGGTGGGTGAAGGTGGCCTGAGCTTTCCCAGCCCTAACTCTGCCCTGCGTGTCCTCAGGTGGTTCTTCAAAAACATCAGCCGCAAAGATGCAGAGCGGCAGCTCCTGGCCTCGGGCAACACACACGGCTCCTTCCTCATCCGAGAGAGCGAGACCTCCAAAGGTACCATCCTGCTGGCATCTCCTGCCACAGGGAAGCACAGGAGTGTCAGGGTCCCAGACCCACATGGTCCCTGACTTCCCAGGCTCCTACTCACTGTCGGTGAGGGACTTCGACCAGAACCAGGGCGAGACGGTGAAGCACTACAAGATCCGCAACATGGACAAGGGGGGGTACTACATCTCCCCCCGCATCGCCTTCAGCAGCCTGCATGAGCTGGTGGAGTATTACACACGTAGGTACTACCTGGAGCTGGTCTTGCCTGCAGGAAGGGAATGGAATGGGTTGGAATGGGATAGGATAGGATAGGATGGTACAGGATGAAATGCGATGGGATGGGACCATTTGTGATAGGATAGGGTGGGATGGGAACAGGATGCAATGGATTGGGATGGGACAGGACCAGCTGGGATGAGACAGGATGGGATAGGATGGAACAGGATGGGATGGGACAGAATAGGAGAGGACAGGATGGGATGAGCAGGACATGCTGCTACCTGTGCCCCAGCAGTCAGTAGCTTGTGTTGGGTGCCCTGTGCCCTCGGCCTGCTCTGACACAGGCCCTGTGCCCTGCGCTGCAGGCTGCTCAGATGGGCTGTGCACCCGCCTGGGCAAGCCCTGCCGGACCCAGCGCCCGCAGAAGCCCTGGTGGCAGGATGAGTGGGAGGTTCCACGGGAGTCGCTGAAGCTGGTGGAAAAGCTGGGAGCAGGACAGTTCGGAGAAGTTTGGATGGGTGAGTTGGTGACACTGGGGTAATTCCTTGCCTTTGCTCCCATGAGTGGTGGCTGGGATGGGATAGGATGGGATGGGATGGGATGGTTTGGGACAGGACTGGTTTCAGCACTGCTGCCCAGCTCCCCCAGCCTCCCTGTTTAAAGCCCAGCAACCAACAGCTTCCTTTGCTCCTGGAGCTTGAAAGCCACATGTAAAAGTATCTGCCTGATGAGTTAAAATGCAGTTACAGATTATTGCCCAGGAGGTGGCAAGCATGGTCCTGCTGCCAACAGCCCTCCAGGGCACAAGGGTCCATGGCGTGTCTTCAACCAAACTTTGCCTCCTCCAACATCTCTTGCTTGGGCAGCTTTGGTTTGGGATGCTGTAGAGCATCAGAGTAGCCCTCCTATTTGTCTCCTTCCCTGCCATGCATCCCCCAGCAGTCCCTCTCTCCCATCACCTTCTGCCCCATTTCTCTGCAGGCTTCTACAATGGCCACACTAAGGTGGCCATCAAAAACCTGAAGCAGGGCAGCATGTCACCCAGTGCCTTCCTGGCAGAGGCCAACCTCATGAAGAACCTGCAGCACCCACGACTGGTGCGGCTGTATGCTGTGGTGACAAAGGAGCCCATCTACATCATCACAGAGTACATGGAAAAGGGTGAGAGCACCCAGATGCTGTGAAGAGCCGTGGTCTTTCGGCTGTTCTCATCCAGTGGTTGGTGCTGGCTTATGGATCTCAAGCTGCTTTTGGCATCCTTCACCTCCCTCCCCACTCTGCCCTTGCATCACAGCTCTCCCACCAGCTGGGAGCTTGCTGCTGAGACCTACCACCTTCCTTGCAGGCAGCCTTGTGGACTTCCTCAAGACCTCAGAAGGCATCAAGCTCAGAATCAATAAACTGCTGGACATGGCAGCACAGGTGAGGGGAGGCAGAGCTGTGGGGCTGGTGGTGGGGAGGGTTCTGTCATGCTGGTGGTGATTAATTGCAATCACTCTACACTGCAGATTGCTGAGGGCATGGCCTTTATAGAGGCCAAGAACTACATCCACCGTGACCTGCGGGCTGCCAACATCCTTGTGTCGGACACTCTGTGCTGCAAAATTGCCGACTTCGGGCTGGCCCGGCTCATCGAGGACAACGAATACACGGCTCGTGAGGGTCTGTCCACACAGCTCAGGGCTACAGGAGAAACACTCCCCACCCACCCCAGCCTCTTTTTGGGGTCCCTGAGGTGGCTTGGGAGCTACAGGACTGCCTGTGACCACAGGAGAGGCGAGCAGGAGGGTGCAGAGACCCTTTCCCCTCCATCTCTCTCCCCCCAGCTGAAGGAGGGCTGCGGGGTCCCTGCATGCCCACCTAACCCTGCTTTTGGTGGGGTGACAGCTCTGCCTGGTGGCTACTGCAGGAACAGGGCTGCTGGCCTGCCTCAGGGCTCTGTAGCTGGCCAAACAGCAGGGATCCATGTGAGCTGGCTGCCACCAAACCCAGCTTGTCCCTAGGCATACAGCAGAGACAGAAGCAGCCTCAGGGTTGTCACATCCAGTTACACAGAGAGGGATGTTTCCAGCTCAGCTGTAATGTTTTATTTCTCCTTGACTCCTGCTGTTTTTCAGGGGCTAAATTCCCCATCAAGTGGACGGCGCCAGAAGCTATTAATTATGGGACGTTCACGATCAAGTCAGATGTCTGGTCCTTTGGCATCCTGCTCACAGAGATCGTCACCTATGGCCGGATCCCGTATCCAGGTCAGGATTTCCCAGCAGCTGTGCAGCAGAAGGGCTCACACACACGCACTCAACGCAAGCGCACACCCAGGAGTGTGTTCATGCACTCCTGCACGCACACACGCTCCCAGCTGCCCCATCTGGCTCCTTTCCCTGACAGCCCGCAATGGTTTCAACCACTTCCTGATGCATGTGGCCAGCCACGGCGGGTTTCGGTGGCAGTAGAGGGAGAAGGAAGCTTTCCCATAGGATTTGCAAGTGTAGGGTGCTACCTGCAACATGGGGGTGACCCAGACGCAGTGTTGCGTGCCTTTCCTCGCAGGAATGACCAACCCTGAGGTGATACAGAACCTGGAGCGTGGTTACCGCATGCCGCAGCCAGACAACTGCCCGCAAGAGTTGTACGAACTGATGATGCAGTGCTGGAAGGAGAAGCCTGAGGAGCGTCCCACCTTTGAGTATATGAAGAGCGTGCTGGAGGACTTCTTCACCGCCACTGAGGGCCAGTACCAGCAGCAGCCATAAGGACAATGGGTTGGGGTGCCCGGAGCTGCTCCCCATGCACCAGGTCCCCACAGACTCTATGTACATTACCTGGGGTGCTGGCCAGTGCTGCCTGGACCTCAGCAGTAAAGATTTGAAGCACTTCAAGTCTTTGGAGCAGATTTCACTCCTTCAGGAGGGGATGGATGGGCAAAGCCGACAAATGACTCCAAAGAGCAGAGGGCTGGGGGGGGGGGGGGGGGGGGCTGACGGTGTGATGTGGGGCCGTTTGGGTTCCCCCCACATTGTCCCTTTGCACTTGCTGGGCGCAAACCCGGCCTCCAGCCCACAGGGGCTGCCCGAGGCCCATGCCAGACGCTCGCCCATGGGCCTCACTAGCTCCTTCAGCCCCAGTGATGGCAGGAACCCCCGCAAGTGATGTCTGATGAAGCCCTTGGCTGTGTGGTGCTGCTTGCTCTCACTGTGGTTTTCACAGGAGCCATTCTGAGGAGAAAAAGGCCTCTGCCATTGTGGCCCTGAGGGATGCTCAGCCGCTGTGAGGCCATAGGGCAAGCAGGGTGCTTGTCCTATGGCCTCAGGGGATGGACTCCACTCACAGCAGTCTCTGACGGGGATGCTGCTGGGGGTCCCGGGCCGTTCTCATCCTCATCCTGGGACCTGAGACCCCCCCCAGTCCCTCTTACACCAGCCCCGGGTGGGACAAGCCTGGGTGCTGGTAGAGGCCGCTACCTTGTGTGTCCCACCCACCCCGCGATGGCTTCAACCCCACCTGTTGTCTCCTCCCACGCCAAATGGTTCCGACCCACACCCCTGGACCCTCTCCTCATTTGCCCCCACGCCACTCCCCGCGCCTCAGCGATGGTGCAGCCCGCGCCTTCGCCTTCCCCTCCCCTCTTCCCCCCCCCCCTCAGCAGTGGTACAGCCCAAGCACCCCGCCGCTCCGCCTAGCCTGCTCGCTGCCCCCGCTCCCGCGCTCTCCCCGCCGCTGCGTTTTCCTATTGGCTTGTGGGAGGGAGAGGGGCGGAGCGCTCTTCTCTGATAGGCCTTGGGCTGCGCGGTGGGCGGGGCGGCGGGGCATGGGCCGGGTTGGGTTGTGCGGGGCGGCGGGAGGGTTCCGTCGCTGTGGGGAGGTAGGAAAATGGCGCTGACGCAGGGCACCAAGCGGAAAGTCTGCTATTACTACGACGGTGAGGGGCCGCAGGGCACCGGTGGGGCGGTCACAGGGGGCGCCGGGATGGGGGGGCTGAGGGGGGCACTGGGTGTGGGGAGAGGGGAGGTAGGGAATGGGGGAGGGCAGTGGGGGCTGCACTGGGGGTAATTGCGGTCATTGGGCTTGGGGGTGAGGTGTTGGCTGGGGGAAGGTAATGGGGGTCATTGGAGGCCGCAGGGGTGGTAAGGGTAGTAGGGGTGTTATTGGGGAGGGTGGTGGGGCTGGGGGCTGTCCTGAGAGTGGTGGGAGGGGTAGTGGGAGGAGTAATGGGGGTCACTGGGGGCGGAGAGATGGGTATTGGGGGCACTGAGGGACAGGGGAGGGTTGGGGGTTGCACTGAAGATGGTGAGAGGAGTAATGGGGGTCACTGGGCAGAGGCTGCATGAGGGGGTGCAGGAATGGGTATTGGGGCTACTGAGGGACAGGGGAGGGCTGGGGTCTGCACTGGAGGGCAGGGAGCGATAGGGGCATAGAGGTATGGGGGTCAGGGCATGGATATGGACAGGATTATGTGGGGACTGTAGCAGGGTTGGAGAATGGAGGATGCTTGCGGGCATAGGAAGCATGGGAGCATGGAGGTGATATGGGGAAGCATTGGAGTGGAGAAAGGGAAGAGTGCGGGGAAGAGAGGGGAGAAGCACTGGGGAGAGACAGGAGTAGTGTAGGGTGGGGAGGTATGGAGATGTAGAGACTTTCAAAGTGGGGAAAGGCTGTAAAGGGTCCAGGATGGAGAGGAGGGTATGAGTACAAGAGAGGCTTTGGGAGCCATGCTGAAGAAGGTTTCTAGGAGAATGGGGAGGACTCCGGGAAGTGCTGGGGACAGGATGGATTGTGGGGACATTAAGCTTCCTCAAGCCACATTATGAAGAGGCTCTTTTGAAGCTCCAGTTTGGGACAGTGGTATTGGCTGTCAAGCAAGGGATAAGATGGAGGTGTGAGGAGCCAGAAGGACTGCATGACTGGTTGTAGGGAGTTTCCTGTGTCTGGGAACATTGTTTCCTTCTGGCTGTGAACTTGGCTGGACTGTAGACTGGTTCTTTTTGTTTTCTGTTACAAGGCTGAGACCCATTTCTTTGGGCCTACATAATCATCCCATTGGAGTTGGGAAGTAATGGGGTGTTAGGGCTGGCCAAATCCCAAGCTGGGTATCATGTATGGCTTCTACCCCATAGTCTGTGGGAGAAATCACAATCTGCACATTCTCAACCTCCTCCCTTTGGAGGGGTGAACTGCTGCCTTGGTGATGGGCAAGCTCGTTTTTAACAGAGGCTGTGAAAGGTATTGTACAATTCTGTTTCCTCATGGTGTTCAGTCTGTGAAATCAAATAAAAACCTCACTAATTTTTCTGGCAAAGTGGATGGGCTCAGTGTTCCAGCAATGAAGTGGGGCTCTTCTAAACTGCTGCATGTGTCAGGCAGGTAGTGAGGGCTTTTATTTCTCTGGACAAGTCAATCTAAGCAGGTTTGCAACCTGTAATGACAGTCTGCAGGGTCTCTGACTCAGTCAGTGCCTCCAGGAGAGCAGGGTGAGGAGGAATCTGTTTTAGAGCAATAGGTGCAGTGAAACTGAGCCCAGTTTCACCATGCAACTGATCTCTGTGCAATCTTACCAAAATACAAGGGAGTGCTGGAGCCCTGCCCCTTAAAATGCCTGTTTTAAACTTAGAGTGCTTGTGGGATGTGACAGAATGCCACACATGTGCACATGATCTGGATGCTGGGTAAAAGATGATGTCCAAAGTTATCCCTGGATTTGGAATATGACATGTTCACAAAGCAGCTTGCCACTTTGCTCACAAAGCAGCAGTTTGTGGACAAGCTATAATCTTTAAAGGCACACAGTGATGTCTTAAATATGAAATTACTAGGCATTTTGCTTGAAAATGCTAAGAGAGATGCTATCCTTGTCGTCATTATTGCATGGTAGCTATGTGAAGTTACCGTTACATGCTCTCATCTATAGCTGCACTCTGTGGTGAGGTTTTAGGGTCTTCTTTCCACTGCTCTTTTACAAGTGGCTGGCAAGCATCCCCAGTGTGTCCTACGGTAAAAGTGTGCTTCCTGGGGAAGGCATGATCCGCAGTTGAGGGAGGCTAGTTTGTTAAGGTCTTATTTTCCACATAGGGAGGTTGAGCAGTGCAATCTAATGTGGTAGTTGCACCCTGAAAGGAGGTCCCTGGGAACTGTTTTGGGTGGCTTGTGGGTGTTCCATAAATTCCAGATAGTTGGAGGGCATCCTGTGCTGGAGAAGGAACCTAAGCTGTAGGGAAGGGTCTAGGTGCAATGCAGGAAAAGATAATTGGGTATCCTAAGGGTCCTTCCTGGAAAACCTGAGGGGTGCTGAGGTTTATGCAAAGGTTTGAGCTTGAACAGTTGCTTCTCCTTTATAGGCTCCCTGTGTAGGGACTTGCTTAACCCTAGCAAACAGGAAGAGGTACCTGTTGAGTTCACACTTCATCTGCACTGACATCCATGAGCAGACAAGCTAGTCTGCTACTCTGGTGGACCTGTGGTGGGATGTGTTTAGCAGAGTGAATATCATCAGGCTCTGGAAGAGGTATGGGCGTGCCTAGGGCCTTTTGCAGGCAGACTGAGGTGAAGATGATGGTTTTTCAAAGCTTCATGTAGTTTTGTGCTTGTATTTTCTAGATAGGGTTTTACGCATCTCTTACAGGATTCCCCAAAGCTTGATTTAACCTGATTTTATTGAAGGGATAGTTGCCCCAATATAATACCTTCATGCAGAGGGCACCCTGTTTCATCTTAGTGCCACAGGAGAGGTAAGCTCCAGCAGCAGAGTTGCTTGGGTGTAGGATTTGCACTGTTTGCATCTACTTTGATTAAAAAATAGAGCCACGTTCACAGGAGGAAAAACTACATATGTGTGCACTGGGGAAGCAGTTTCTCCTGAATGTTAAGACGGGTGATGAAATATTAATACTCCCATCTGAGTCACCAGACAGACTGGACTGGGTCTCCTGCTTCCTAAACTGATGGGGAGTTGTACAACTACATGAACAACTTAGTCTGGTTTCCCAGTAAAATGGGGCTTGCATGGTGCTATCGTAGAATCATGGAATCCCAGACTGTTTTGGGGTGGAAGGGACATTAAAGCTCATCCAGTTCCAACCCCCTGCCAGGGGCAAGGACACTTTCCACTAGAGCAGTTTGCTCCAAGCCCCTGTGTCCAACCTGGCCTTGAACACTGCCAGGGATGGGGCAGCCGCAGCTTCTCTGGGAAACCGGTGCCAGGGCCTTACCACCCTCAGACTGCTGCTGTGTGTAGCTGTCTGCATTTCCTGCTCTCTACAAGTTTTGACTGTCTCTTGCAGCCAAATCAGACAGGAGGCAGAAATCTGTGAATTAAATTTCTAAGTTTTATGAAAATAAGTACCCTGGGAGAGAAGGGGGGAGACCCAGCAGTGCCTGCTATGAGAGAGTGCAGCATGAGCTTAGCTTTTGCTTAGGTAGGAGAACGTCCACATACGGGGATGATAAATTTGTGTGATTTATCTGTGTGATATACTGACAGGAAGCCAACTTCATTAATGCTGATGCCCACAGATAGCTCATCAGGTGTGTCTGTGTGTGGGACTGAGATTCTTCTGCAGGATTTCCAGCAATAATAAGGGTTGAAAATGGCAAAACTATAGCTGCTGTGGTGTTTGCTTATTGGCAGGGTTTTATCTTGTTTCTGTTAGGGAAATAGTAAGAAACTGAGGCAGAGGCTATGTGCTCCTACTGGTGAGTCACTGTCTGAGCTGGGATTAGACTCATGTACCTCTTGGTGTGCTGCTCAGAGCGTGGCTGCATTTCACAGCGAAACCTGTGAGCTGTAGATGTGAGGTACCACAGTGAGCCTGAACCACCTGGAGAGGACATTGGAGAGCTGGAGTGCTTTGAGGAAGGCAGAAGTGATGCCCAAAGCTCATCCTGC